TTTAAAATCTTACAAAATATTTATAAGTCTCAATTAAATCAACATCCTAAGATTTATTTACCTAAGCATTAATAAATTTCAATAAATTTTGATTACTTCCAGCTAATTGCAGACCACATTCTATATAATAACACAGATCAGTAAAAAAAATATGAAAAGAACTTCCACTTTTTATTGCTTATTTGTTTCTGTTAGACTTGTAATTATCTGTGTATAGACAACATAAAGGCTTTAACATCTTATTTAGCAAAAAAACAACTGTAAAGTTCCGAAATAAAATGCTGCTTGTTCTAATGGAAAGTTTTTAGTGCTGTTGCTGGTTCCCATCAGCCAATTCACATGATTTGGATGTCTATAATTTAATTTATTGCAGACTGATTGAGGCATCTAGTCTGAGTCGAGCTGATTGGTGTTTAGGATAGCAAATTGGCATTTTGGCTGTTTGTCGATCTGCCAACTCAAAAAAGTAAGCCAAAAAATGCGCTTTATCCCAAAAAACCAAGACTTTCCAACTTGATACCTAAACACACAATTTGAAGCAAAACAAAGCACTTCAAAATCCAAGCAATAAATATAATTTTCGATAATTACCACCTTACATCTCATAATGATCAGTTAATTTCCATCTCATAGCTCAGTAATTAGCCCCACAAGCAACCCATAAAAATGCCTGGAAATGAGCATCTTAAGAATTTCTCCAAAAGAAGGCGTAAAATAAGTTCGTGAAAACTGTTTTTTTTTTTCTTCATACTTCTCATTCATGCATGCCTTTTTTTCACTTCCAGTCATGCAAGTTTGCGATTCATCTCATTTTAGGCTCTAATAAGCTTTTGATTTAATTTTGATTTGCAAGATTTTCTTATCTTTTTTTTATCATTTTTTTGAATGGTTGGTTTTGTGGAATTTTATTGGATTTTGTGAGGTTTGGAGTCTTAAATTCGGAATTTTTTCGTAGATTTTTGAGAAATTGTAATAAAGATAGCCAAAAAAAACTGAGCAACAAGCAGAACAACATGACTGTAAGCTGAGCAACAAGCATAAAATCATGACTAAAAAGTGAGCAACAAGCAAAACAACGAAACCAAAAATTGAGCAACAGGTAAAGCAAAATGTTTGTAAATTAAGCAACAAACTGAGCAACAAATTAAATAATGTGACCAACAACTTGAGCAAAACTGAGCAACAAAATTTACGCAACAATCTGAATAACGTGACTGAAAACTTGAGCAAAACTGAGCAACATAATCAAAAATTAAGCAACAAAATTCCCTCTTAAAAATTCCCTAAAACAAATCTTTAAAGAAAAACAGCAACCACGAGCCACAAAGCGAGAAAAGCGAAAATTTTCTCTAAATCAAGCATGCAAATCTGACTCAAGCTACTGAAGAAAAAATATAGATAAATTCCAAATAAACATCGCAAATCAATTCGCCAAACATTGACTGAACTGAGTTTGAAAAAAGAAAAATTTCTCTCGAGCTGCATGCAAAGCAGCGTGAAGTTTTAAAGTGAAAATCTCGTGATTTTGTTTTTTTCGCAGAATTTGTGTTTGAGATTGAATAAAGATGTAATTTGAGTCTAGTTGACAGATCAATTTATTGAAATGAATTTAAAAAATACGATTTTTTTGTGTGGTTTTCTTGGAAGTTTTTTTTTTTTGATGGATTTTGAAGAAAACTTTGTTGAGTATTGTTTTTGGATTACTGAACTTTTTTGTACATTTTTTTCTCAATTTGTTGCTCAGTCTTGCTCAATTTCTATTAAATTTGCTCAGTTTTACTCAATTTCGCTCAACTTTTTGCTCAATTTTGCTCAGTTTTCCTCAGTTTTGTTCTGTTTTGCTCAGTTTTGCTCAATTTTGTTCAGTTTTGCTCAGTTTTGCTTAGTTTTACTCATTTTTGTCTGAATTGTTGCTCAATTTTTCTCAGTTTTGCTCAGTTTTATTCACTTTTGCTTGAAGTGTTGCTCAATTTTGCTTAGATTTTCTCAGTTTTGCTAAAATTGTTGCCCAGTTTTGCTAAAATTGTTGCCCAGTTTTGCTCAGTTTTATTAGTTTTTTTTCATAATTTAATAAGCAATGATCTGCAATATAACCTCAAAAAACTTTCAATAGTTCAAAAAATCACAAAAAAAAATTACAAAACATTTTACACATCAATTAACCAAAAAATTATAAAATTTCCTCAAAAATTCAATAAAAATTATTAACAAATTCTGATCAGTTAAAGGTTTTTGCTCAATATTTAAATTAATTGCCCACCAAAAGTTATTTCACATTTTACACAAAAATGCTTCATAATTGAATTAAAAGAAATCAAAGAAAAAATTCAATGATCTTGAAATTGCTTTTGTAATTTTTGCTGTCACATAATTTTCAATTTTAATTTTTTTGAACTTAATTGTAATTGCTGACTTAAAGATGATTTTTATTGTCGGATTAAAAAGGAGAAATTTTACTAAATATGACAAGCTAATTAGTGAATCTAGGGAATTTAAGGCTAATTTATTGAACTTTAATTTTGAAAAATCAAAAATTATCTCCAAAACTTCATTTCCAATTCTTCTTTGCATTCCCATCCATATTCATTGACCTCCACGCACGTAAAATTTGCTCTTATTGCCACATTAAAAAATTCATTTTTTGGGCTCGGTTTCGTACAAGTGCCAATAATTCCATTTTGTGCTGTCTCTTCCATCCTTTCTCTTCGTCTCTTCTTTTTTGCATTAAATTCTTGTTCTTGTTTATTAATTTCGCATTATTGATGTTGTTGTTGTTGCTGCTGTAGTTGGTCTTGAACTTCAATTTGTGAACGGAGTCAGGGTGTCTCTGACTAAAAGATCGAGATCCTTCTTAAAAATTAAACTTTTGAGCACATCTCCTCTTTTGGACACCCTCCCTCCTTCCTACACCCCTGCAACTACTCCCAAAGCCCTCGATATACACCAAAAAAAAAATACATAACATTGTTGCGGTTTCTTTTCTTATCGCAGCCCAAAAAACTGAGCGAGTTTCCAAGAAAAATTTAAATCTAAATGGATTTCTTGCAGCGAGGCTGGTTTTTCGTACGTGTCGATTCAAAGACCACCAAAAAGATAATTTTTAATAACACATGAAAGAAATTGGAATTGAAATGAAAGAAAGAAAAGATGTTTGGATGGTGTGTGCATATAAACAGTGGATTTAAACGAGTGGAGAGGAAATGAAGTTAAAAGTTGCTTTTTTGAGGTTTGAGGACTTTGAGTCGGGTTTTTGGAGTTTTTTATGTCATTTTTTTAGGTTAAAATTCTTGGTTTTTAATTTTTTGGCAATTTTAGATCATTTAATGTCAAAAAATTGTAAATTGGTTCAAAAAAGTAATTTTACCTTGACTGGGATTTGAACCTTGGATCTTTAGGTTTGTACTAATAAACCTAGTCCTTTGCCAACTGAGCCATTGAAGCGAAATATCAGAAAAATGAGTTTTGGATTTTTGATCAATAAAAACTTAATGTTAAACTTAAAATAAGCCAAAACAGGACAAATCAACTAAAATCATCTTTATGACGTCGACAATTTAGTCAGCGTGACTAGTTTTAATTCTTATTTACTCTAAATGTGAATCATCGAACACATTGTGACATCACCATGCAAGAATTTCTCTTACTTCATTCGTAGAATACGACAACAATAGTGAAAAACTTGAAATTCAATAAAATTATACTCAACCATTCATAAAATTTTATACTAAACCATCTTCTAGTTAACAACATAACATCAACGGATGCAAACACATCCGAAAAATCCCCAATTGACACCAAAAAATGCAAATTTTCATTCAAACTACTAAAATCACGACATAAAAAAGGCAAGACTTGCCATACCGCTTTTTGGCGTAAGTATCGCGCGTCGTAGCTCCAATTCTTACTTCTTTCTACATAAACAGTTTTATTTTCGTGTTACTGTAAATACATTTTTTTTTCTCTTGCGAGATTTTTTTAGAACAAATCTGGAACTCGAGACGATAGAGAATGAGAATTTGGATAAAAAAAAGCGTGGATAAAGAGAAGAAGAGGAGAGTATTGAAGGTCTGAACGAGATTGATAGAATGTTCAATTGATCTTGATTTGATTAGTGTTGAGGAATGTGAATTTTGAGATTGTAGAGTCATATGCTTTAGACTAGCCTCTTAATTTTGACGCTCAGCTTCAGACTAGCTTTTCAATTTTGACGGTCAACTTTTTACTAGTTTCTCAATTTTGACGCTTAGCTTTGGACTAGCTTCTAAGGTTCGACGCTCAGCTTGAGACTAGCTTCTTAATTTTGACGTTCAGCTTCAGACTAGCTTCTCAATTTTGACGCCCAACTTCAAAATAGCTTCTCAATTTTAACGCTCAGACACGGACTAGCTTCTCAGGTTCGACGCTCAGCTTGAGACTAGCTTCTCAGGTTCGACGCTTAGCTTTAGACTAGCTTCTTAATTTTGACGCTCAGCTTTAGAATAGCGTCTTAATTTTGACACTCAGCTTCAGACTAGCTTCTTGATTAGTCTTTCAATTTTTCCGCTCCGTTTTAAGAAAAAAATTCAAGAACAAATTCCATGCAACACCGCATTTATCTAATGACAACCGACAAACAACAACAACAGCATACCAAACAACTCTCCCCATAACATGTAAAGCAAAGAATAAAAATTCTTAATGCATAATAAAACAGAACTCGAAAGAAATTGTGACTCAAAAATGAGGTTACAGTTATTGCCACATGATGACTTGATTGCCTCATTTTTTCTCCATTTCAACTCGATTTAGGTTCTCGTTCTGACTAGAAAAATATGCTTGATTGTGGCTATGCGAGCGTATGCTGCATGTAATTGTTGATGATGGATTTAAAATGTATGTTGAGTATGGTTAGGGATTGATTGTGAGCTTTGATGAGTTTTGATTATTGAGGTTTAAAATGTGGAGGGTGCACACACCTATATAAGGTTGTGTGTGTAATGTAATAAGGGTGTCTGACTTACCTTGTCTTGATTGTTGGATGTCAATTGCTGCTTTCTGTGTCTTAACTTGTAACTTTATTAAGCACAAATCTTTAAGAAAAATTAATAAATTTTATTCGCACTTTCTAATTTTGGTAATTTTTCATATTTTTCTTGTGTTTTTCATTTCACTGAATTTTGTTGTCAAATAATTTTTTTTTGTCGTTGATCTGAATTTTTCACATCAGTGAATTTTGAAATCTTTTTAATTTTTTGTTATTTTAACATTTTTTCACATTCTTGGTTCAATTCTAAAGTTTAATTATTCACAGTTTTTTTTTCTTAATTTTTCCAACACGATAAAATGTGTAATTTTCTTCTTTTTTCTCGCTTACTTAGTGCACTGCTGTTAACAGATTGCTTGATGATGATAAAAACTTTGTGTTCACTTTTCTGAAACACTGTCGCACTTAGATGCTGTTGATGCTGATTGTCAGGATGACTTGCTTTTATTTTAAACTTTATTTAATGAAACAATTTTACATTTAATTTTTTAAGACATTTTTGGAGCTCAATTTGAATTTTTAACAACTTTTATGATTTTTAAATCATTTCTTTAAATTTAAAAAAACTTTAAAAATTTAAATTTTATTTAAAAACTTCACAACTTTAATTTTTTTGAAATTTTCATATTTGTTTTTAAAAGATTTCAAAAAATATTATACATGCAAAATTTTAATATTTCAATTCGGCTTTTTTAATGAATTTAAAAAAATATTAAAATTGCAAAAAAAGTTTATTTTACTTAAATCTTTTTTAAATTTTTAAAAAATCGTAAGTTGTCAAAAAATATTTTTTTTAAATTTATTTATATAATTTAAAAATTTTATAGCTCAACCAACAAGTTCAAATTATTATTCACTTTAAATCCTTTAACATAAATATCAAAAAAATTCACAATTATTCTTCAATAATCCACACGAACTAAGCAAAACTCCGTCGACTCCAAACTCAAAAACTTCATCACAAAACCGATGCTAAACATAAACTAAATTGCACTCAAGACAGAAAAAAAGTAAAGTGAAGAACCGAAAGAAAGTAACAGTAAGAAGGCAAAAAAGCATGATCAGATTGTGATTGCTGAGCAAATGAACGTTAAAGAATTGAGAAAAATAAATTAAAAAGAGAGAAAAAAAAATTTTAGCAAAAAAGAGAATTAAGCTTGTGAAGCTTTTGAGCATAAACCATTTATAGTAGTTACAGGAAGCTTACATGCTTGTTTAAAGGAATCTAATAAAAAGTCCTGATTATTTTCATGCACTTGCTTGATGGCAACTGTTCTTGTTTATAAAATAATAAAAGTTTACTCCAGACGCTAGTTGCTAGAGCTACAAGAGGCATCCTATCCTCAGATAAAGCAGGATTGTTGCTTGAAGGGTCAAACCTAGCCTCTCTATTTTTTTTTAAAAAAATTCTTCAATCTTTTCTTTAGAATAGAACTCAAAACCAAGCCATGAAATTTCCCATCTATACTAATAAATTGCAATAACCCTCCCCCCTCCCCCCAATCGTGAAAGGTTTCAAAAAAAAAAAATCAGACCAACATGGGACGACTCAGGTGACCAGAGCTCGAATTCGATGAGATTTTGTATAAAGTCTGGTCGATTTTGTGTCTAATTTGCCATAAAACAACAATAAAAAGCCCGAGTCGACTTTGAACTCTGCTCAGACCTTCTTAATTATTCTCTAGAAGCATAAGTGGACTTAAAACTCTAAAATTGAGTGTCATGCTTTAAAAAAAATTCTAAGCTCATACAAAAAATAACGGTTAAAATAATTTTAAATTTGAACCTCGAAAGTTCAAATTCAAAATAAACGTAAACATTCTTAATAATAACAAAAATGCTGATCGTCAAATTAATTTTTTTTAAATTTTTGAGATTCTAGCAACATTTCCTTATTAAAAACATCAATATTGTTGTGTCCAAAAAGTTAATGACAACAGGTAGACACTTCTAAGATTGCGAAACTTAAAAATTCAAGAATATTTTTTGATTAATCATCAGCAACATTATGAGAAGTTTTGTTCAGTAGAATATAGTCAAAAGGTGTGAAATCTATAGCAATATCTGAAGTATTGGCAATGGAACTAAAATAACAAAAATAAGTTTGGAGAATAAAATTAAAAAAATCTTCAAAAACTCATAAAAGCTTCAAAACCGGCTCACATCAAATCAACTCTTAAATCTCCAAATTAACTACAACATCAAGCATCATCATGGACGGCTTTGACAGCATAAAAATTGAAATTCCAGAGAATTTCCACATTACACTAATAGAACCAGAGGATGACGAATTCGAGCAACAATTTGAAATCATTCAGGACGACAACTCAGGACTTGAATCTAAAATTGATAACCATAGAAGTGGATTAAAAGCTGTTGAGACTGCAAACAGTAAGAAAAGCAATGGTTATGATGTTAAGAAGAGACGGGCAATGTCAGAAGATGAGGATGATCATAAGTCAGGAAGTAAAAGCATCAAAACTCCATCAACAATCAGGAAGACGAGCATTAAGTTGACTACACCAGACACATCTGCATCCCAAGATGAAATCATTAGCGAACAGCTTCAAAATACCAAAAAGCCAAATCAATTTAAAACTGAGCTCAACAGACTCAAGATTCATGGCCGTCCATCCGATTACTTTAGTAGTTTTTCTCAGCTCCCCAAAGACAGAGAAGCAAGAAGGAAAGCAGCATCAACATCTAAATTAATTGCTGACATTATAAATCAGAATGAGGAGTTGGATGTATTTGGAGGAATAAAATCTATAAAATCGGAAATAAGCCATAGGAATGTGCCTAAAACTAAGTTTGTAAGAAAATCGGACAACTTTATAAGAAATTCTGAAAACGACGGCAGAAATTCAATATTTTTGGATCGATTTGCTCAAAATTCTGTAGAATTGGCTTCAAATTCGACATTTAGTGTCCGAAATTCATTCAATTTGAATCCAAAAGCTTCAACTTTGGGTTCAACTGAATCAAAAATTAAAAAAAGTGCAACAAATTTGGATCAAAATGTATCAGAAGTGTCCAACAATGTGAAAATTTTGAGGAATTCACAAGAAAATTCCAAAATTTCACCAGCATCAAAAATGCTGATTAATCCTGCAAATTTCATAAAAAATTCACCAAATTTCAACAAAACTTTACCAAAAAAGCTACAAGGTTCTTCAAAAAATCCACAAAACTGTGTCAATTTGACCTTACCATCATTCAAAGAACCAACAGGTACCTCGCATTCCTTAAATCAAACATCGCAACCTCATTCAAAGCCAAGTTCTCAAGCCGCTGCACAAACCCAAGAATCCAAACGTCCAATTAAAGAAGAACCAATTTCACCACAAAAACAGTTTGCATCCCCTGAAAAAATGACAATAAAAATCGATCCAACAGAATTTGAGCAGCCAAGAGTCTTTAATTGTAATCGATGCCGACGGACATTCGGATCAATCAAGTCATTGGAGAATCACAAATATCGAGTACATAGTAATCTATCGAGTTTTGTTAAGAATGTAAACAAGATCAAAAAATATAAAGAATGTCAATTTTGTGGTGCAACTGTGACTCTTCCAGTCGTTAAACTTCATGAAAAGAGGAAGCAAAAGTTTGGCACTTGTCATAATAAAATCTGTCCAATTTGTCATGAGCCATTGATTAAGTTGCTGGATGAACATATGAAGGAACAGCATCCAAAAGTGAGGAATTTTTGCATATTTTGTGGTAAAAAACTTAAAACTTGGGTAACTTGTTTATATCATATGAAGAATAATCATGGAACTGAGTATGCTGAATGGAGGGCAGCATTGAGAAAGAATGGCGAGAAGAAGTTTGCGGAAGCTAGTGCAAAAGATGTGGAACAAGATTATTTTCATGAAGTTATTGTTAATCATTTGAATTTAAATGAATCAATTTAATAAAAATTGGATGAAAATTTTTTTTATAAAAAAATTCCAAAATTCTGTCTTTTAATTCAATTTTAAGCGACTTCAAGCAACACATGTTGAATTAACAGCTGATAGATTAACCACATGGATCTCTTAAACAAAGTTGAAGTCTTACGCTCAGTTTTGATCATGAGAGAAAATTTAAAATGAGAAAATTCTTAAGCGAATCTGTGGAAAATGTGAAAAGTCTCGGTCAGTATTGTTCGGAGTTTTAAACTAATCGGTCGTAAAAAATGCATAAGAATTGAAAATTTGACATACTTCAAGTGGAAGTTTGATCAAAAACGGCTCATAAATTGATAAAATTTATTAAAATTAGCCAAAAAGTGAGAAATTCAATTAAAAATCTGAATTTTAAGGACTTTTTCTAAAAATAGACAAGAAAGTGAAATAAAATTCCAGTTGCAAATGAGAACAGGCAATTAAGTGGGGTCAATCGAAAGGTTCTGTCTCTATAAATAATAAAAAAATCTCTCAACATTCCCTTCAAAAATCTATCAAAACTTCCCTCAAAATTCACAAAAACCTTCTTGAGTTATTCATCAGGGCCCCCCCCCCCCTCTATGTGGTATCCACCGCACATCCCAAAACAGCTCCCACATAAGAAATATAAAATATTAAAAATAAATTCCACTCATAATCATCGATTGAGTTAGTGTGCCTTACTTATGCATCTGCAAAAGATCATTTCATCATTAGAATTTATGCCAGATGGCACAGAAAATGTTCATTTCATTCACAAGAATCTCCACTTCCTCAAGAGAACATGCCTGACATAGAAATAAAAAAAAATTATTAATTAAATAAGCTAAAGCACTTGATGGATCTTGACTTGAGAATTATTAATTTTTTATGTTTGTGTATTATGGATTGACTTTTGATCTTTGTGTGATGTTGAATGGGAAATGATTGGAAGCTGAAGGAGATTCTATGACTCATATGCCGGTTAGGAGCATTTTTTGATCTTTGGGGGTATCTAAAGGAAACGGTCAACCTCAATTGGATAGCTTTTAAGCCAAACTAATGTTCAACAGAGCATAAAGTCATATTAATAGGATATGAGGTATTATATCCGAGATTCTGCCTCCCTTAGCAAGTCACCACTAGTCTAATGAACGTGATGAAAGATTTACAATGTTTATTATGCATATAAAGCACAAGTGATTATAACAGATGATTGAAATTAAAACGATGTGCTAATTACTTACTGATTGATTTAAACGATTGTGTTGATTAACTTTTGAAATCACAATAAACACTTGAGACTTGCTTTATTGGTTGATTTATGTTTGGGATCATAAAGTTTTGAAATGTTAATTGATTTTTTAACAAATGTAGATTTTTTAACGCATTTTCTTTTCAAGAAATGACGCTGTTGTGTGCGTTTTGTCCTTCCGTCTGTGCGTTTGTCCATCTCTTCCTTCAATTTAAGCTTTTTTGATGCGAGGGAAAATGCGCTTCAGTCGGTCACGAGTGACCACCTCTTTACTGAGCCACAACTCAGGAGCGTAGCTAGAAATATTTTTTTGGAGGAGGGTTTTGGTTTTTTTTTTTTCAAAAAGCCTAGAAAATTATTCAAAGAAGGACGACCTTCATACAATTATTTTGAAAAATGACACAAAAAAGCTTTGAATTGCAACTGGAATTTTTCTAATCATTCCTTCAAAATTTTTCAATTTGACCAGCCTTAATTCTAGAAACTAAGCAGCCCTACCCAAAATCAAAGATGTCACCACAACCTCCAAGACCACCAACACCAAAGCCACCACCTCAAAAACACACAGCAATCCCACAAAAACGATCATCATGCTGCGACTTCCTTATTCTCTCAATTTCATTTCTGTTTACAATTTTTGTCGCGTGCCTTATTCTCATCTATGTTCATACTTATCAGCAACAGCATCAAATGGAAATTGAGAAGTTAATTCAGAAGTCGATTGACGAGAGAATTTTAAACTTGAAGAGAAATCCTCAATTTTATGAGAGGAAGAGAGGCGATTTTGGCGAGAATTTGAGGACGAAAAGAACTATTGTTGAGTTCAGGCCGATTGGTAAGTTGGGATTTTGGATTTTTGATGAGTTTTTGCAGGTTGTTGGTCGAGAATGTAAGCTGATGTTTCAGAATAATGCACAACTTCTCACTTAAGTCAACAAAATGATCCTAACGAGTTTGAAAAAATTACACTAATCATGATCAACGATCTTACAGGTGCTGATGAGTCTCAAGTAGAATTTTTCGACCCAAGATTGCGTCCTGAGCTGGAAAAAAATGATTCAATGATCATGAAGAAAAATAACTGGAAAGGTTCAGCACCAAAGGGTAACTTTTATAAAATAAGCATCTAGAAAAGAACTTAATTTTAATTCTGTAGGAGACAACTGGGTCTGGTTGACATCCTACTCAAGAATTCCATTCCAAGCAATTGATGGATTTTGTAGACGAACTCAAGAGTATTGTCCACCTGGAAAGACTGGAGAGTAAGTGGCAATAACAATTCCTTCTATTGACTCATAACCCAAATGATAAATTTTTTGATTCCAGAAAAGGACAGACAGGACAAAAAGGAACAAAGGGAGATATTGGACCGGTTGGTCCAATGGGCTACAAAGGTAAAGACAAACCTGTGTAACAAGTTGTAGTTTAATCTTATTCAAAAATTCACAGGAGACTCTGGTATAACCGGTCAAAGAGGTCCTAAAGGAATTAAAGGAAGTCATGGGTTTAGAGGACTTGATGGCAGAGATGGTAAGTGTTTGGTGCTGACAACCAACAATTTAATTGTTTCTAAAATTCTTCCAAATATTTAGGTCTTCCTGGTGAGCCTGGAATTGATGGATTACCTGGTTTGTAGACAATCTAAATCAACTTCAATAGATTCTGACAAAACTTCTTTTAGGTCGCGCTGGAAAAGATGGAACTCCGGGAGTGAATGGAACAAATGGTAGAGATGGAACTCCTGGAACTAATGGTAATATTGTCAATACATTGAATTGTTGCATTTCCTTAAAAAAGCAAATTGTCATCCACAGGAAATGAAGGGCTTCAAGGACCACCAGGAATTAAAGGCGATCGAGGAGGTTTGATCACTACAAAATCATTAATGGTTCCAAAAATTCAATATTTATTCTACAGAAAAAGGTCTTCCTGGACCAAAGGGACCACGTGGAGACAAAGGCAAAGATGGAACTCATGGAGTGCCTGGAACTTGCATGCACGGATGCGTCAATCTTAACGGATCTGCAACTGACACTAAATTGTATTACTTACCTGCTCATATTCCAAGTAAGTTAATGTCTCCAACCTGTTTTGTCAAATATTGTCGCAAATCTTTAAATTCAAGCATCTGGTCAAGCTGAAATGAGGAAACCAATCATCATTAAGGAAGGAGACAACTTAAGACTAAGATGTTCAGCATCTGGATATCCTGAGCCTAAAAGTAAGTATCCTCAAAGCTTATTTCTTTAAGTATTGTCTCAATTGTTCTTAATCTTTAGTTCAATGGAAACGAGAGGATGGACAGACGATGAATTTTGGTGAATGGGAAGGTACGGTATTATTATATGTCAATTAAAAGCATGATCTTGATGAGATTCTCAATTCACAGCCAATATTGTGGAAACGAATGTAATGAACTTTACAAAAGTCAATCGAGTCCACATGGGAGTCTACGTCTGTACAGCAGACAATGCAGTGTCTCCACCAGCAGTTTATAAGTTTACTGTTGAAGTTCAGTGTGAGTATCTTACTAGGATCTTACATAGACTAAGAATAAATTCAAGAATTAATTCACAGTTAAGCCACTTGTGCGCATCAAGCATAAATCCGAACAGTACATAAGAGCTGAACCTGGAAAGTCAGTCAGTTTAAGTTGTGAGGTAAGTGCTGAGAACTTTATATATGGATATCAAAGTAACCATTAAGATGCTTAACAGTCTGAAGCATATCCAGAACCAGTCATGTATTGGCAACGTTCTGATGATCTAACAATTGAAAATGAGAGGAACCGATATCATGTTGAGCAAAAAACCATTGACATGTAAGTTTTTATCTACCTTAAGTCACTTATGCTTCAATAATAACAATCAATATTCCAGCTACAAATTCAACACAACTCTCACAATATCCCGAATCACTCAAGATGACTTCAACAAGGAAATCCGTTGCGTTAGCAAAAATAAACTTGGAATTGCCAAAATTTCCTTCTTCCTAGTCACTCAAGCTCAATTTAAGAACTACAAAGATGGCGATTCTCCATTGGAAAGTGGTGAAATTCCACCACCAAAAGAAAGCTACGAATCTTTGTGTCCTGAACAGCGTCCATGTGATGAGTGTCCAACACTTAAGTAAGTGACGCCTCAATTCATTTAAAGTTCTAGAAACTGATTGCTTCCTTCCAGAGACCTCAAATGCATCGACTCAACCCTCCTTGACATCATCGACAAAGAAGCTTTTGCAACTCCAACAGCCAACCGTACATACGATGAACTCGGAAATAGAACTCAAGACTGTGAACTTAGTATGGTTGGTAAGCCAGTATTCTTCAGTCATTTGGATATCACATATGGTGCTTGGCTGAGAGATCCAATTGCTGTTGAGAATGTGACAGTTGAGAAAATTTGGCAGACGAATGAAAATGATCCAAGGAACTTGTATGAATATAAGACAAAGTATGAGTATGTGAAGAAGATTAAGCCAAAGAAGTATCCACTGCCTTGTATATTTAAGGTGAGTATGAATATGGGTTAAGGGTTGCATAGACCTGAAGACTAATAGCTACTCATGCACTTTTGTTCCAGGGAAATGCTCATGTAATCTACAACAACCATTTCTATTATTATTGTCAAACTAATGAGTCTATAATCAAGTATGAGCTGAAAACTGAGAAAGCAGTCAGTAAGTATAGGATTAAGACATCAGATTTGGCTCTAAAGGGGAGTTAAGGGTGTTCTATGCCCTACTTAATTCAAAACATTTCTTACCCCACAGAGGAAAAGAAGCTTGAGGACCTCAACTCATCACATTTACTATACTCAACTCAGTTCAACGTCGTAGACTTCAGCATTGATGACAATGGAATGTGGATAATCCACAGCTCACCTAATTCAAATTATACAATTGTGTCTAAGCTTAATGTTACTACTCTCGAGATTCAGAATAGCTTCAATGTCAGCGTGTATCATGATAAGGTTGGTATATGTCACAAGTATTAATGCAAGAGAACTCCAGCTAATTTCAAATCCATCATGTAGCTTGGAGAAATGTTTATCGTCTGCGGGATCCTTTATGGAGTTGACAGCACAACCGACACAAACACAAAAATCCGCTTTGCCTTCGACATTTACAAGAACAAAAGAATCGATGTTGAAATTCCATTCTCAAATCCATTCACAAGTACAAGCACAATTGGATATAATTACAATTTGAGGGAGCTTTACACATGGAGTAATGGAAATCAGTTGATATATCCAGTGAAGATTAATGCACTTGGTACAAATTATACAGCTGAGGAGAGTGTTCCTATTCTTTTAGAACGTGGTGTTGGATATTCTGTGTTGAAGGCTAAGAAGAAGCCGAAGGTTGAACTGACAACGACACCAAAACCTACTTAATTATTTTTTTGATGTTTTGTGTTTTTTTAAAAATGTTGTATTGATGTTTGTGATTCTTTTGTATTTTATATTGGCTAAACCAGTGATGGTCAACCTGTGTGTCGCGGAACACTAGGGTTCCAGAATATCCTAAGAACCATGTGATGTATGCATGCAAAGTGTGCCGTGAAATAAAAAAGGTTGTCCACCACTGGGCTAAACTTTAATTTTTACAGAATATTTTAATAAAATATAAAATTTTCTTAAATTTCAAAATATTTATTTTTTTCTCAAAAAATTATTTTGTTGCTAATACTTTACATACAAATTTTTGATAATAATTATTTAAACTATTTTTAAACATTTTTTGATTTTATTTTCCAGTCTGTGGTTTTTTTGAAGATTTATTTAAATTTTTATAAAAATTTTCAGTTAACATTCTGTTCTTTCAACAGTCTTTTAGCCTTTGATACAACTTTAGTCATTTTGAATATATTTTTAATTAGGCTATGCAAATAAGCACTTTACTTTCTATTGATATTACTTTTTTGTCTACAAGTGAATATAAAATTAATGAACAGAAAGGTTTGATTAAACATTAAATTAATACTTAAGACTCAAAAAAAATTATTTCAATATAATTTTTGCTATTTTTTCAAAACTTAATCTTGATTTTCAATTTTTTGATTTTATATTTTTAAGAAAATACTTTTAAAATTGTTGAGAAACAAATAATTTTTTAAACTGATAAGGATAGTAATTGGAGGGTAGAGGATGGTTGGCTGAGGCTATAGTTGGGCCAGGGTAGAAGTGTAGCTAGCTAGCATCTTCAAAGCTATTCCAGCTCTTCCCAACTCAATTCTTATCATCCCCACCATCACTATAACTGTTATAATACCTCTGCTCATCTCCATTTATGGACGGTGAATTCTCATCAGCTTCATAGTCCTTCTCATGCTTAACACCTTGCTCACCAGTACCAGAATTATTTAAATTCAGGATATAAGGTATGACATTGTCAATTTTGATGAAATCCACAAGAATGTTGAAAAAAAGTTTCTCAATAATTTTCTCATTAAATGAAGGCAGCATAGCCATGGTCTGGTAGATTGAAATGATCCGGAAGTCATTTTTATGTTTGTCATAATTTTGAAGACTTTCAACGATCCTGTCTTCATGATTTTTAAGCTTTATTTCAGTCATGTAAATTCGATTAGAATTAAAATACGAAAGAAGTCGAATGTGTGCAAATTCTACAGCATCAAGTTCCAGTCCAGCAACATTATCGATGAACTTATTAAGCATGACAATATTATTAAGCATCTTTTTCACTTTACGTCCTTTAATTGTTGCTTTGCCTTCATTCTTTTGGTTCTGTTCACTCAAAATCAGCAGTGACTTGACATAATTCACTAAAGTAGACACAATCATTGACTTGAGATGTCCTTGCTGTGGTGCTGAACAGACTTGAGCAATTCCAATGACTAAAAGTTCAATCCAACAATTTTTAAGCATCTCACATTGAATTTCTGAATTGAAATATTGAAAAACTTGAAGATCGCGCAGCCATTCGATAGTCTTGAACAGCACACGACTTCCAATTTCACACACAAAGTGCATTTTTGGCAGTAAATTTGGAATTTGGATTTTAAATTGCACGGCATTGTCATCTTGGAGGGAATTAAGGAAAGATTCGGTCAATGGCTCATTATAGCTTCCATTATATGAGTCATAAGTTGAGGATGTTAAGGACGTCTCGACCATTTGAATCAAGTCTAGAGTATCGTTGAGTAATTTCTGTTCTAATACTGTCTCATAAAGCTCTGATGATCCATTCTTGAATTTATTATCAGTTGGCTCGGGTATGAATGTTGGTTCCTCAACTTTCGTTGTTGTTGGTGCTTCTTTGGTCGGTGACGGTGGTAAATTGAATTGTGTAGCACCAGCCGCATGCATAAGAAGTGGATTAAGTTGGAATAAATTCAAATAATTCAATGAATTTGGATGTGATTCTCTTTTGTTACGTGATTTTAAGTCACTGCCGTTCTCTTGTGATTGTTGAGCCTTCATTGCATCATTCTTCTTGTCCACAATCGGCTTCCGTTCATGCTGAACAGCTACGAAAATTTGATAAAAAAATTATTTATCATAAAAAGTTATATCAATTTCCATTGACAATGGAAATCCAACACAAAAAAAATAAATTCAATTTTAAATCTCTTTGTAAAATTAACGGTTTTTAAATTTTTTAAAATACAAAAGCTTTTTTCATTCAAATTTCAAAAATCCGTTAATATTAAAGAGCCTTACAATCACTTCTCATTCCGCATGCGAGGCATTTTTGTAGTCGGCAATACTGACAGCGATTACGGTGATGCTTTGTGACTTCACAGTTCATGGAACCTCGGCATTGATAGCCGAGTTGTTTGCGAATTGAACGCTTGAAGAATCCTTTGCAGCCTTCGCAGCTTATTGCGCCTAGAGATGGAATGAAATGAATTTAATAAATTATTTTGGATATTTAGTGATTATTGAAGTTTATGGACATCAAGAGTGACATTAATAGCTGAATTTTGACGGCTTAACTCTTGGCTACTCCTGATTATTTTTTACAATTCTGAGAAGACAGTCATCTAAAGCTCTGATTGATCATTCATATAATTTAAAATGATTTGATAAAAAGCATAAGGCTCTTCTAGTATGTCTCCCCACAAACAATTAATAAACCAAAAATACTCACCATAATGTCTTCCAGATGCTCTATCTCCACATACGAGACAAAACTCAATATTTCCTGTACTTGGCATATTTATTTCTTGTTTATTCTGTGCTTGCAGTAGCTCTGTTTTAATTTGTGGTAGGTCAAGTGATGAGTCCATATTTCTGTTGTGGGATATGAATAATTAAGAAGATTAAAAAGATTGAAATAAATAATTTGAATGAAAATTGTCTTAAGTGCACTGACCCTCCCCCCCCCCCCCCCTCCTCCCTCCACTGTAGCTCAAAAAAAACATATAAAAACCAATAAAATTCAACTTCTATACTTCTTTGATGAATGCCTGAGTCATAGAGTAAGAGGGGGAGGGGGGAGGGGTCATTGTACAAAAATTTCCACAACTCTCAATAAATGCCATCAATTTTCTAAGAATCTTCAATCAATCTTGTCACGATCCATACAGTTATCTTCAATTTCCCAATCAAATCAACAGAACAGTTAACACATTTACAGCATAATCTCAAAACATCCATCAAATCACTCAAAATAGACCACAAATCAAAATATCAAAATTTTATCTCGTTCACCTTAAAACTCAATCATTTTAATCTTGTTGCTTCCCATTTTCGCTAAACTCAAAATGTCACAAAAAATGGTTAAAAAAATAAAATTCACACCACGCGATGCGATCGAAATCAAAGTCACTTGTCGATTGCCTAACATTTAACAGAGCAAGCTCATTCATCTTCAATTTTTTTTTGCTGTTCAAACAGCTCTAACAGTTATAGATTTATGTATCGAGGAATGGGGAAAAAGAAGTGGAAAAGTAAAGTTATTTTGCACACAAATACAAATGTCGAGGAGATGAGTTGTGATGCTTAGCGTGGAGTAGAATGGAAGTAAGAAGTAATAATGGAAGAAGTTAGAGCGGAAAGAGAGAGGAATTTAGATTTGAAGATGCAGTTTTAGGTTTGTTTTTTAAATGTAACGCAAGTAAGGAAGGTTTGGTTGAGTTGTGTGGAGTAAGGCGCATATTTTGTTGTGAAATTGCGCCTGTAAGCAAATTTATGTCCTTAAAATGAATGGTTGGAACTGCTTAATATCAAATAGGTCATATGAGCCAGTTTGTGTTGTCTGTCATTTATTGATTGTTAGTTGTTGCCGAAACTTAATAAATTATTAATGTCAGATAGCAGATACACGGATGTTCATGTATTACCTTGGACTACTCCTAAAGTGATATGAGCAATAAATAAATGTCTGTATCTAATTTTAAGGCGTAGGAGTCTTTAACTTATTACTATGGGATCTGGTCAATGTGTGTCTGACTTCTCGAAGGAGATCAGGTGGTCTCAGGCGCGTAGCCAGGGGGGGATTTGGGGGACAAATCCCCCAACATAAATAGAAATTTCTTTTTTTTTGCTAGGGTTTCAATGACTTCGAGCTCAACTTTATATAATAAGAGGCAGATTAAGATCGTGAAACATCATGACCAAAACTGTTAGAATTAGTCAACAAACATCTAGAACGATTCGGCACATAACCGGGGACGGGAGTGGGGGGGATTTGAAAACTCACACCCATTGCTGAAAAATTCTTCAATTTGCTAGAGTTTTTAAGAAAAAAGTTCAAAAAATTTCTGCCTTGATTTTTGTCATACAAAAATTTTAAAAAGAGTAGACAAGAGGCTAAAGATATACATGAAGACTCATTGCTACCCTCTAGGGGCGTAGCCAGGAATTTGAAGAGAGGGGGGGGGCAAAAAAAATTTTATATGAAAATTTCTGAGGGAAGGGGGAGATGCAAAATGAATAAATTTCTGTTAACGTAGAGGGTCCCACAAATCCCCCCCCCCCCTGGTTACGCGCCTGTTACCCTCATATTACAGCACAATCACCTCTTTAATGAAGGGCATTAATAAACATCATATAAGTGAATGCTCCCCATTCAGTCCCCATGGAAATAGTTTAAAGAACTCGCCATTACTCTAGACTAGACACCCCAACACATTTCAATTCCAATAATAAATAAATTCCATTTCTTCACAATATTTTCTACAAATTCAAGTTCATTCCAACTAGAACAAAACAAATCTAGTAGAAAAAAGCAGCAAAAAGAGAGAAAAAGAAACAGTTAGAATTCTTTGAACTTGCATGAATCGTTCCGTTCTCATTGTGGTTAGCAGTAGATCGTGAAGAGTGAGACAACAATAGTTGAGTAAGAGAGAGGTTGATGCACCTGATGATATCGAGGCACAAGTGACAATCAGAGAGGAAAATGAACACAGAAGCGGAGACGATTTGCATAAGCGTGATTTATGGAACAGGTTTTGTGTGATACAATTTGACAAGAAAGAAAAAAGTAATCGACGTTGAAGTTGATCAGCACACAGAAAAATGCCTCAACACAGTCAAAGGTTTTAAAGGTCAAAATATCTTTAATGTCATGTGCACTTTTATGTTGGATTTTGTAGACCAACTTTGAGGATTTTTGGCATTTACTTGCCTTAAATTTCCTAATTTTTCACTTAATTTGACTTTTGTTGAACTTTGCTTTATTTTTGTTCCATTTATCTTCACAATTTAATTAATTTTCTGATCTTATCGACTTTGATTTTAAACTTTTTCACAAATTTGAAGTTTTTCGGAGCACTTTTCACTCACAATTCTTGAGAAATTTATTTTGACTATTTTAATATACAAATTTTATTTAAAAATACACAAAAAATCTTTTTTTAAATTCTTCTTTTATTTTCAATTTGACATTTTACGACTGATTCCGAGTCAGTGAAATTGGGAAGTTGTTTGGTAGTTTTTGTGTGGAAATGAAAAGCTAGTTGGATTAGATTTAATGTATTTGAGTTGAATGATCGTTGAGCTTTTTGTGATAATTGAAGATTCTTGGTTATTTTTGAATTTTTACCAATTTTTCTAATTTTTTGAAACAGTTTTTTAAAAAATTCTAAAATTCTGTTGTTGAAAATTAGAATTGATTTAGAATTGATATTAAAACTGAGAAACTTATAATTAAATCCGAAGATTTAAAGTAAATCGGCAATTTAAGGCTTTGATTATTTCAAATGAGCTTTTGAATTTGAATTTTTAACAATCGTTGATGCAGCTTTTGTCATAATTTATGCAGCAAAATAAAATTCATTTGACTTTTTCGAGCTATTTCTGTAAGAGACTTCGTACCCAATCCGAGCTGTACCACCACCTCAGCATAATCATCAGACATCAAACATTTCAATCATATCAAATTTAATGACAGCAGTTAATTGATATTAATAGAACTCTGTATAATCTATAAATATAAACGATCCATTCAATTTTCAGTTCCATAATGTTTACACACATGAAAGCTAAAAATTTGTTTAGGAATTAATCGATTTTACATCCTTTTCATCCTTTCAGTAATTAAAAATTGAAATGTTTATTATGAATATCATTAATTTCAATCACGTCATGAATTGATTATTAAGTTTTAGGGGTTGGGTGGGGTCATTAAAGACAGTCGGAAATAATATAAATTTCTATTTTTTTTTTGATTAAATTAGAGAGGATATTGAGTTGCAGATTGAAACAATTTCGCAATTGAATTGTCTGAAAAAAAAAATAGATTGTTGTGGAGTGTTTCAGGTTTCAAAGGGGGTCTGGGCTGGTTTTTAGCAAGAATGTGGAAGTGTACTCTACCCTTGACTCAGAATAATTTTATTTATATCCCATAACATTAAGATATAGCCAGGAGAGTCTAGATTCCCCGTCTCTAAAAGATTTGAACTGCAGCAAAAGCCGGCTACAAGACATAGAAACAAGGTTCGGCTATGATGAGTAGAAGAGCGCATTAATTTATTCTTTTCTTATCTGTATCTTGTATATATCCTTGGCTTGGGCTCAAGTGAGCCCATTGCCACGTTAAGAGATCGTGTAAAGACAGCTCTATCCTTCGAGACCTTTAGCAAATTCGGAATATTAAGGATTTTGGTGTCCTTATCAAACTTCCTTCATAATTTCAATTTAATCTCCACTTCCTTTATAAGAATCTTAAGCCACATCTGCTCATATAATCCACGAAAAATTCCTCAAGTTATCAAAATGTGATTAAAAGAAATTGAATCATCTCGAAATAATGATAATAATATCTTAAGATGCTGGTGCTAGCTATCAGTCGCATGTAGGATGCGTCTTTATGCCTTTCGGGCTATATTTTTGCAGATGAAAGTTTTTTCGTCCGAAATCTCGAAAGATGATTGTGGGAAGGTTGTGCTTATTTATTTATATTTTGTTGATTAAGACAAAGTAAATATGGGAAAAATGGAGTGTAGACGGATTGTTGTTGGGTTGGAATTTGAAGTTGATTCTTTTTAAAAAACCTTTAAAATTATATAAACTCTAAAAAACTTAAAAAACTCAAAGTCAATTTTTCATCAGCACTTCTGCCCCTTGGCAACCTTAAATTAATTGACTGTAACTAAAATCCAATTTTCATCCTTACTTCCTCTATTCCTACTGTCAATTTCCATCAAAATCATTAATAAAGTGAAAATAAATGGATAAAATTTTCCCACGTCATTTAGAAATTATTGCTTCTCATAATTCAATTAAAAGCGGTTCAATGGGAGCTAAAAGGAATGAAGAAGGTATGAAAGGAAGGAACTAAGGAAGAGAAAGAGAATTATCGACGGTCAATTGGAACTGAAAGAGTTAAAAATAGTAAAAAGTAAAGAGCTTTTATGACGTAAATGTTTGGAAAAATAATTTATTTTAGTGACTTTTGAGAAATTCTTTTTGTCTGATAATTAAAAGGTTGAGTTTGGGGAGGAATAAAATGGTTAAAAGGAAGTTTGAGTGCTGCAAGTAATGAGGAAAGGTTGAATCAGCTGATATGGAGTAGCAGATGGAAATATGAGGTTCACTAGCTGATAAGGTACTTGTAAGGGACCAAGAACAGTATCAACATTCCCAAAAACTTAGATTTCCATCAAATTTACACATTCAACTACAATTCAAAGAGATAATCATCAAAAACTCATCACGATGTTCGATTTCAAGTAGGCAAAAAGTTTTCATGCACGTGCACGGTGTGGAAATTAGATCAGTCGAGAACTGTAACATAGCTGCGTGGATAAATATCAACAAATAATTGGGAAATTTTTAATCGAATCGTAATCTCGACTTGAATTGCCGGCGCTTTTGGCAAAAAAATCCCACATTGAATTTTCAATTTTCCGACTCCTCGGCATTTTCAGCTTAGTTTCTGTTGACATTTGCGGATTCTTTTTTTTTCTTCTCTTTGTTGCTTTTAAAGCGATTTATTTTTTCGAAATTTAATTTTGGATTTTTTTATTATTTTTTTTAAGTGCTCGAAAATCCAATTAAATTTCAATTTTATCAGCTTTGAGCTCGCACTTTATTTCAAACGAGGAGAGAAAAAAGTCATCAAAATGAAAGGAACATAAAACGTGATCAACTTGGATGGATGATTTCGACAGCTGTGCTGTTAAAGCGCATTCTGGAGAGAATTAGGTTAGAAAGCAGAGGGTCAAGATCTGAAAACTGAGAGTCAAAATCTAAAGTCGGAAAGTCAAAATCTGAGAATGGAGAAGAAAAATCTGAGAAATGAGAGTCAAAATCTGAAAAATGAGTGTCAAAAGCTGAGAAGTAAAAGTCAAAATCTGGGAAATGAGAATCAAAATCTGAGAACTGAGAGTCAAAATCTGAGAAATAAAAGTCAAAATCTGAGAAATGGGAGTCAAAATCTGAGAAATGGGAGTCAAAATCTGAAAAATAAAAGTCAAAATCTGAGGAATGTGAGTCAAAATCTGAGAAATGAGAGTCAAAAATCTGAGAAATAAAAGTCAAAATCTGAGAAAATCGAGTACAATCATCAACTTCTGGTATCCAAGCATGTTATCTTATACATTCTTAAATTCTTTAAGACACTTTTTTTTGCTCTTCAACTGTCAAAGTTTATTTTTATGGCACAGCGAGAAAAAAATTTTCATTTAAACATCATGAATTTTTGATAATATGTCATTAATGATTTATTAATACTTGGAAAATTCCTGACTTGCATTTATTGCGAACAAACAGAGTATTGAGTGGGGTTTGATATTAGATTGAGTAAATAAGAAGCAATAAGTTTAGAATTATTAAAATCAGAAATTGTTAATAATCAAAAAAATTCAAATTTAAGACTTAAAAGAGAAAAAATCAAAAATTCGTTGAAAAGATAACAGCTCAAAAAGTGACTTCATTACTTTTTCACGTTTTTAACAATTTCTGATGACTTTTTCTTTTGAAACAAAACTTTGAAACCCAGAAAGTGAAATTTAATTGGATTTTCGATATTTTTTATAAAGCAACAAGAAACAAAAAAAAAATCCAAATTTAATCTAGAGCTTTAAAAAAATCTTTAAAATTGCCATAGAAACTTAACAAAAAAATAAATACCGAGAAGTTGAGATAAATTTTTTTAAAAGTCGAATAAGAAGGAATTTTTTAAAAAATGCTGACTTGTGATAAATGCCAAGTGTTCCTTATGAAGCTTATTTTCTTTGTGAAATAAATCCAATTTAAAATGCGAAGGTGTAAAAATGTGTGTTGGATTAGAAAGGCTTGAGTAAATGGTGTATCTGTGTGCTGCTATGAAAATTGACGATTTTAAAAAAAGTTTAAAAAATCTGTGTTTTTAGTCACCCTGTAAAATGAAATTCAATGTTAAACATCCTGAAAAGCAATTTTTAAAATCCTCTGAAAATTCAAATAACAAATTTAATTTTATTATTTAAATAAATTCAACAATTTTCTTCTTCTTCTTTTTCATACTGATTGAGGCATTTATTTTACATATACGTAAATATTTTATACAAATATATAACTTTTGTTTGTTCATTTTTTGTTTAATTTTTTTCATTGTTTTTCACATCATCGTCATTTTTTTCTATAGTACCCTCCTCCATCATCGTTTTTCGGCTTCATTTTTTAAGAGTTTGACAAAATAATTTTTTTGACTCTTTTTTGCTCAACTTCCATGCGGAGGTGCGATAGAAGTTTTAACTTTTTTATTCGTTTTTTAAGATTTTCAACATAGTACAAAAATGTTAAATTGTTCTTGTAATTTTTAAGTACAAAAAAGTTTTTAAAATTATTTTTTTATAAATTTTAAATGTTAAAATGATTTTTAAAAACTTTTGTATTTTAATGAAAAAATTAAAAAAATTATTTTAGTAATTTAAAAGAATTTATGTTTGAAAATTTGAATTTAACCTTAAAATTTCCAAAAAATTGACTAATAGTTATTGAGATTTTCCACTAAAATTATTAAAATTTGAACTAATTAATCAACAACCTTTTCTCAATTTTTGTACAAAATTTAGTGCCATTTTTCCAATATAAACCTAATTTTAATGCCTCTAAACTACTTTATTAACCTATAAAACAGTGAGAGCCCATACCAATACCTAATCCAACCCCTCAATTCAATAATCCACAGTGTTGCATCCAAAACATAACATTCCCAAATAAATTCACTTCAACTCCAACAAAACACAACATAACGTGTCATGTCACTTAACTCCTACACACTGTGTCACCTCCCAACTGTATCATCAACATTATGTATCAGTCAGGTGAATAAAGTAAGTATACACATGAAAAAAGGATGCGCCATTTGTTTATTTGACAATCAACATT